AATAAAGAAGCTTTAAGAAATATGCCGTTTATCCGACTCGAGCTTTAAGCTATCGATAGCACGAGATTATAATAAATCCTTGCAAGCAGCTAAGCAAAAGAGCGTCTTTTTAATAGTATAAATCAAGGAACACTAAGCTATCTATAAGTTAGCGAAGATAAACAACCTTTACGAAACGACGAGTACATTCGCGATAAAAGCATTCTTAAAAGCTATTAGCGAAAAATAATTATCAACTTAAGCGTCGCTAAAGCTCGCAAAAGTTATTCGAAACGACGAGTTATTATTGCTTTAAAAGCGCACTTTTTACGATTACTTTAATTAATACAAAAGCTAAGTCGAAAAGAAAATTAGCAATCCGAACTTTAACTTTTTTAATATATTCGCTACTTTCGGAGATTAAACGATTCGCAACACTTTTAAAAGTAATAAGGCTAACGATATTGCTTTTAAGCAATCCGGTAAACGCTTCGATAGCTCTAAAGGACTTGCTAAGGGTTTTAAATGCTCGTGCTTTAAAAAGAGAAACCATTATTAAAACGCAATTAAATGCAAGATCTTTCGCTATTGCTTTAACGGTTTTAACGAAAGTAGATTCGCAAAGCCGAATCGAGATAATATCGTCGCTATAAAGAAAAGGCTTTAAAAGCTTAAGTTTAAAGCGCTTCGAAAAGAGATTACGAAAGAAAGTTGAATATAAATTCAAATCGATAAGATTATCTTAAAAAGCAAAAAGAAGCAATCGAACGATAGCGATAAGTTAAAATACTTTAAAAAAGTATTAGCAACTATTATCGATCTTAAGCTCTTTAGCACGCTCGATAATCTTATCCTTAACGGTCTTTATAGCACGGCTAATAATAAGCATTAGCTATTTAATAGCACTTTTCTTAATAATTACGGCGCTACTTACTTTGTTAACGATAAGAATCTCTTAATATTAAAGTTAATTTAGCGCTTTCGCTTAACCGACTTTATCGAAGCTAAAACGAGTAGTCTTTTAATCGTCGAGCGAAAGATCAAAGTCTTTAAAAGAGCTTTAAACGGATTAAATAAAACTAAAACGGAGGATTTAAAGTTAAAGAACGTCGCTATCGTTAAAAGGTTTAATATTAATATCATTTCGAAAGCTCTTTTAAGCAAGGCTAGCGTATAATACTCGAGATATAACGCAACTCTTCGCTATAAAAAAGTCAAAAAAAGCGTCGTATTAAGAAAGTTAAAAAAGAAGTTTAACTTTACGTTCTTTAAATACAAGCTATTCAATTATTCTTTGCTTCAATTGATTTATAGCTCTTTTTGCTTAATAATATTCTTTATAATTTAAAAGCGCTTGCAAACACGCTATAAATTCTAAAAAAGCAATGTCTTTCGAACTTTAAAAAAGGATTCATCGATACTTTAGCATTTACGAAGAAATCATTTAAGCAAAAAAACTTTCGAAGCGCTAGCTTATAACGTTAAAAGAGTAAGACTTAAAGGAATCATTAAGGTTAAATATAAAGCATATGCTATTACGCACGCTTAATAAGTTATATCTCGCTATACGTTAGATAATAAAGCAGCTAAGCTATTTTATAAGATCGCTTAAAATCTATTCGATTTTTTTAACGGTTTCGAAAAAAGCAAATAGTTATTAATAATTAAAAATAAATATAATAAGAAGCTATTCGGCTTTATATTAAAAGATAAGTTATAATTAACGGTTATAAAAGTGTTAAAAGAATTTAAAGCATAAACGAAACGCAAATACGGTCTTTTAATAGCTATTATGCGCTATAATAACGATTCTTCGATGATCGCAATTAACGTAATCGGCTTTATCGAATATTAAAGATAAGCGAAAGAAGTTAAGATCGAGTTAAAGCTCTTATTATCTTTTAATTACGAACTTAATAAAAGAGCTGAAAAAGCTAAAAGAAAAGTGATAGAACGGTTTATTAAAATAAAAGTAAGAGCAAGGCTCTTAAAGAAGCTTTAGCTTAAAATTATACTAGCCGTTATTTACTTTTATAATATAATATCGAAAGCGAAAAGCTTTATAAAGAGTCCGAATAAAATGCTATAGCTTTAGTTTAAGCAATATTTTAAGTAGTACGATCTAGCGATTCTTATACGGATCGATATCGATTTAAAACTAGATTATAGCGGTTTAATTGCGTATAGCGCTCGTGCGTACTTAATAATTAAAGATCGAAAAGCTTTTCGTAATAAAAAAGCTTTTAAAGTTAAACCGAAAAGATATATAAGCTACTTGATTAAATATATAACTTCTAATATATATAAAGTCTATATTCTTATGCTTTATAAAGTGATTATTATACGTAACGTAACGTTCGATAAGACTTAATTTTATTTTAAAGACGAAAAAAAATCGATCGGCTAATCGATTAGCGAAATCAAAAGCATCGTTATTAAATTAAAAGATATTAAAGACTTTAGTTAAATAAAAGACGCTTTGTCTAATATAAAGAACGTTATAAAAGATCGCTTAAAAGAGACGAATGCAGTTAATATAAAAGGTAAATAGCCGTTAAACTTTATAAAAGTTGATTTAAAAAGATCTAATTAAAGCTTAAAAGATACGACTTTATTTAATCCGAGCGATACATAAACGTTAAGAGCTTTAACTTTAATTAAAGACCTTATAAATACGTTTATATTAAAAGCAATTGTTTTACAAAACGATTTAATAGACTTTAACGATTCGAACTATACCGTTAACCGTCTCGCTAGCTTTTTAGCTAAAAGCAAAAGCGAAAGTGCTTTAAGATTGCCAAAAGCAAAGAGGAGCATCGTAGACGAGCAAAAACTTAGCCTTAATAAAAGAGCGCGCAAATTATACTTTTAAGTTGTTATTTAAAGCCGAAGCTCGAAAAGCTAAGCTATAAGCCGATTAACGAAAGCTTTTACGTTAATAATCGGCGGAGATTTAAACCGAATAATTAAAAAAGAGCTTTTAGACCTTTTTAAAGCGAGCACTAATAATAAGAAATTAGATTATAAACACTTTAAATAAAATTCCGATTTTAATAAAAAGCATTCACTTATTAATAGCCGCATTAGAAAACGCGCGAAGATATACGCAAGTATTAATAAGCTTCTTTTAAATAACTTTTTCGCCGATTCGAACCGTTATTCGCGCGTTTTAGATTTTATATCGACTTTTTAAGCTAATAGCGAACCCGTGCGCGAAGATAGCAAAGATTACGAAACATTGCACGCTATTATAACAACTGCTACTTCGTTTAAGCTATTATTAAAACAGCTTAATTCGTAAGAACGAAAACATTTAAAACCTTTTACTTATTAAAAAAAGCTATAACGATATTTATACGATAAAGAGTTTAAGGACGGAGCTTTTATAAAGCTGAATAATTTAAAGAAAAAGAACTACTAAAAAGTAATTCTCGAGAGCGAAGCTAAGTCAAAACCTATACCTTTTAAGTAAGTGTTTATATATAAGATTAGCTCGTTCGAAGAGATCGTAAAGTTTAAATCGAAGATTATAATTAAAAGCGACCTTTAAAACGAATCTATTATTTATTTAACTTACGCTATTACGCTAGCAGCTAAATCGTTTAAGATAATAATAGCTATAGCAGTTAAATTTGATTTAAAAATAAAACAATTCGACGTCGTTAACGCTTTTATTAACGCTATAAAACATACGGATAACGTCTTAATTACGTATTATCTTCTTAACGGTTTTAAGCAAAAAGGTATGCTCGTAAAAGTCGATAAAGCTTTATATAAACTCAAAGACTCGCTAGCTTTATAGTATTTCGATTTTATAAGCATACTCGACAAATTAAAGCTTACTTTATTCGATAAAAAACCGTATATTTTTACGAATCTAAATAAAACGGTCTTTATAGCGTTTTACGTAAACGATATTCAAGTTATATACTATTACTTTAATCTTTTTAAAGCGCAAGAGATCATTAACGGTCTTAATAAAGCGTACAAGATCGAAGCGATAAAAGATATTAAATAGTTTTTTAATATAAGAGTCGCTTAAGACCGTTAGCGAAAAACGCTAACGCTTATACACGACGCTTATATTAAAAAAATAACTAAGAAATTCGAACTTACGGACGGACGCTGCTTAGCAATTCTATTACCGTTCTATGACTTAATTAAAAATAAAAAGATAGCTTCGCGAAAGCAAGTGAAAAAATACTAAAAGAAGATTAAATCCGTATTATATATAGCGATTATGCTACGCTTAAATATAGCTTTTGCAGCCTTTTAACTTTTTTATTTTAGTATTAATTTAAGCGCGGAGCACTTTCGAGTTGTAAATTAATATTTGCGATATTTATTTAGCTCGCGTTTTAAAAGTATTTAATATAATTAGTTTAGCAAATTAAAGCTAATAATAGCTTTTAACGCTTTTTACGCCGATAACGAAGAGATAAAGCGATCTTTTTAAAAATACATTGTATTTTTATTCGAAAGTGCGATCTTTTAAAAAGCTTTAAAGCAAGATACAATCATTATATCATTTATTAAAGCGGAGCTTCTTAGCATAACTTTTATAATAAAAAAGATTATAGCGCTTTAACGGTTTTTTAAAGAGTTGCACTTTCGTTTTGCGGCGCTTTAAGTAGTTTATTATAATAATTAATAAACAATAAGGCTTATAGCTAATAAGAAAAAGCGTATTTTTATTAAGCTTCGCTACGTCGATATTTATAATATATAGCTGCGCTAAAAGCACTTTAAAAAGAGCTTTCAAATTTAATATCTTTTTATTAAAAAGATGCACGCTAACGGTTTCATTAAGAACTTAATTCGACAGAAGTTTGAAAGCTTTATTAAGCTCTTGAATTTATAAAACGCTCGCGCGTTAGTCGAAAAGCTTTAATAATATATATATATTATTTACTTATTATATTTTATTTTTTTTTATTTGCACGTAATTCAAAAGAAAACATTTATTTAGCAATTATAACCGTTATTTTATCTTATTTTATACGCTTTTACCTTTCGTCTTTTTATAATAAAAGATCGATTAAAACTCTTAACAATCTCTTCACTTTAGCTCGGCGCTCCGCAAGAGTCATAGCAACGGCGGGCGCCGCCGCGAGAGCAGCAAGCGTAACGATTAGCGCAAAAGAAGCGACGATAATAAGTGCGACGAAAGCGACGGAAGCTGCGAAAGCGACGGAAGCAACGAAAGCGACGAGAGCAATAAAAGCGGCAAGCGCAAAAGCTGCTACAACAGCAGATTAAAGCCTTTGTATAAAGTCCGAAAGGAAGTTCTAATTAAAAAGAGCTGCTTAAATTAAATTATTTCGGAAGTCAAAAAGCTTGACTTACGAAAAGGTAATATGCTCGAAGCGTTCCGCGTCATCGGATCACGGTTTGCTATTATAAGACTATTTAATCTAATAAAAGCTATATTCAAATTAAAAGTCTTAAAAGCAAAAGCAAAACTTGCAAAGCTACCGGGACTACTTTTAAAACTTTTACTTCTATTCGCTAGACCGCTCGGACCACTAGCAGCACCTCTTAAAAAAGCAACATTTAAAGCGAGCTATTATCGTATAGCATCTCGAAGACTTCGGCGAATTCTTTATATAGCATTATTATCTTTAGCGCTTACGAAGTTATCGAAAGCGGTGTTAACAGCGGCAAAAGCAGCGGTGCAATTGCTATAGCTACTTTTAGCATATTAAAGACAGCGTATAACGCTCGTATCGCAATTATAATAGTCTTTATTAGACTTCGATGTAATCTTATTATTAATGCATTTAATGCACCTTAAAGCTTTGACGGTCGTTAGCATAAGCAAGCGCTTAATAAAAAGGTTTAAAAGAAAAAGCGAAGCTTCGAAAGTAAAAGTGCGTAATATAGCCGCCGCAGCCGCCGTAATTGCAGCAGTAGCAATAGCTAAAGCAGAAAAAGGATTTTCTTAATAATTAATATAAATATATTAATCTATCAAAAGCATTTACTTTTAAACGGCTTCGGCCGCGCTTAACGATTCTATTAGATTAAGTTACTTGCTTAAAAAGCATTGTGTAGATAGATAAAAGTTAAGTGTTTGTTATAATAAAAAAGAACGCGCTTCTACTTATATAGCAACGCGATAAAGACGGCGTTAAAGACCTCCGTTACGTAATAAAACCGATTTAAAAAAGAATTGCATTCTTAACTAATACTCAATTAATAATAATAACCGCTATTTATTTGTTTAAACTGCGATAACAATCTCTTTTATTTACATCGAGTTTAAAAAGCTTAATCACTTATTTTTTTTCTTTTTTATTTGCTTGCAGCTTAGCAGTTACGCTATTAACTTAAAAAGTGTATTATACGGAACAAGCATAGTTCTACTCAAGCTATATATGATATATCATATGACCTCGCTTAATAGCGCCCTTAGCACACTAGAGCTCTTAAGTACATATACATAGATCCTAACGAGCTTCTTAAATAGAATATACCAAGCTTCATTCAATCTACAGAATCTCTTCTTAATCTTAGTGCTAATAAGCACTACACAAGCGATAAAGATGCTTTACTTAATATAAAAGATCACTTAAATGCTAACGATGATTTACTTAATAATCAAAAGCGTCTTCTTTTAAAGACTACGGTTCTCGATTTAAATCTAGATACTACGAAATCTAATTAGCTTTTTGCTTAAATTAATAAACTCGTATCGAAGCAGTATGTTTTTGCTTTTGCTTTAAGTTAACGGTTTACGCTAATCTTTAAGCTAAGATTTAATCAAAAGCTTTTTAGTTTGGCCTTTTTTATATTATTCTTTACCGGCGCAAGCGATTTTTACACTTAAAGACTTCGAAATGTTAATATAAAAGATTATACTAAACACTTAATAAAGTATCGCGATAAGCGTTTTGCTATTTACTTTCGTTTTCGATTCTACTTTTTTAATATTTTAATACGCTTTAAAGTCGTTAAAGTATCTTTTTACTTTATTAAGTTTCGAAAAGATATTAAAGACTTAAGTATTGATAGTTTGCGAGATTAATTAAAAAAGCAGTTAGCTCTTTTTAATTAAATCGTGCGTTATAAGCAAGCTATCGATAGCACTCGACTTTTTTAAAAGAAACAAAGCTATTAGCTAAAAGCATTAGCTAAGTCTTAGCTAAACGCTATAGCAGCCTTTTTTATATAAAGTGTTGCGGACATGTAATAAAAAGACTTTTAGCGCTATCTTCTTCGGTATAATAAATACAAGGCCGCTAATTAAGCTGAGCGAATTAAAATAGTTTAAGAAAATGTTTAAAAGAACTTGGCTATCATTGCTTATTATATCTATATCCGTTAGCAAGCTTTCTTATAAGATATCTTAAGTTATTATTTGTCGTATACTGATTTTTAAGCACGATAAAAATAGCAAGACCGTAGCTCGAACTATATTTACGGTATATTTTAATTAAAAAGCAAACCGAACGATACGAGCGAGCTTAAACTTAGTATAAACTTTAAAAAAGACGATTACTTTCGTATCTTAAACTTCGTTAGCTTTTAAAAAGATTATATTACTGTATATAATTTTAATGCGATTCGTTTATTAGATTTATAAAACCCGACCTTTTTACCTTTTAATATAATTAAAAATATAATCGATCAACTTATTGCGTTAATTAATCGAATGCAAATCTATCGCGTTTATTTAATTAAATACTATTTATGCAAAAACAAAGATATAAAAGTCTTCTTTTGCAGATTCTATTATAAGCGCTTTATGCAGTCGACAACTGATTATAATCGGAAAATAAATCTTTAAAAATATCAGTTTGCCGCTTAACGCAATCATCTTTTACAAAACCTTTTTTTATTTGTTTTTATATTAAGCTGGTTAGCTAATACGGATATACAGCTTGTATCTAGCCTTAAAGGTCTCTTAAAGTACGCTTCCAAGTATTGCTTTAAGCATAAAAAAGAATCCGACTTTTATAAAGATATTATCAATATAATATTAAAATATATTAATGCTAAGGCTTTAGCTTTTTCGCTAGTCTTTAAGATGCTTAATAAGCTGCTAAGAGAGAGGGATTATAGCGCTTAAAAGGTTTATCACTTGCTCTTTAAGATCAATTTAATTAAATCTATTCGGAACTTTATTAATTTAAATTGCCGACTAGATAAAAACAAAAAGTACTAAGTAGAATTAAATAAATATAAATTAAAACTTAAACTCTTTAACTTTTAACGGTATCGATAACGCTTCGAGCGAATCGAAAAGGTTATTCTTTTAGACTTCTTTAAAGTCTACGATATATATACTTATAAAAAAAAGAATTTCTTACGAAAAAGCAAGCTTTAGATCATTAATTACTTCTTTTAATACTTAAATATTAAAGTTTATGATAATTATAAGCATAACGCACGCACTTACTTAATGCTGCATTATCTTTATCGAAAAGAAGACGACTTATTTATTAATATTACCGAAAAAGAGCATCCGATATTCGCTTTAGCTTATAGCGCTTGCAAGCGCTTTTATCGAGATCTTTATAGCGATTCTTTGCATATGCTCGATTACTACGATTCTCTTTCTATAGCTAACGAAGAAGATAAAGCTAGCTTAAACGATAAATACGATATAAAAAGCTTTAAGCTTCGAGACCGTAATAATATTAACGTAAAAGAAGAATAGAATTTGCGCAACTCTCGGAACTTTCGTATTATGCTTATAAACGAAGACGATATATCGAACCGGCTTAAAGATCTTATTTATAATTAAGATTTACATATTAGTAAATATAATATTCTATTTACTTATGTTCGAAATTAAAGAGCTGCTGCCGAAGTATTTGATATACGAGTTAGCGCTATTCGAAGTTATAACTTTAAAAGGCTTTCCGATAAATAAAAAAGGTTTTACTATTTTATAATAAACTATTATATTATAGTATTACTAAACCAAACCCTTTTATAGCTGCTAATTCATCTCGACGGCAAAGCTGGCACGAGCAAAACCTACTTTATTTTAGCTACTTGCGTACGGCTCTAAGATATAGCGGATAAAGCTAGCAAGCTTAATCTAGTTATCCGAGCAGCGCTTATAAGTATTGCTGCTTTTAGCATCGCAAGAGCTATATTACATTCATTATTAGCGCTATTAATTAAATACTATTTTATAAATAATTCTTTTGCTACTTTTTAAACTTTTTAAGCGAAATTCAAAGATTGCAAGTATTTAATTATTAATAAAAAGTTAATAATTGATTTAAAAGACTTCGCTCGAATTTAAAAGCGCTATGCTTAGATTTTCTTTGAATCTCAAAAGCTATTTAAAGGTTTGAGTATTTACTTTTATAGTGATTTTTATTAGTTACCGCTAATTAAAAAGAAGTCTTTATTTGTAACTTACAACTTTTCGCCGGAACAAAAGATTAATTAATCTTTTTATCGATTATTTAACAAAACTATTCGATTTAAAGTTATTATACGTTAAGAAAGCGAGTCTTTAAAAGCTATCAATTTCCGCAAAGCCTTTTTAAAACTTTAAGAAGATAACCTTTCGATAAACAGTTAAGAACTCTTTATATTTCGAGCTAAAATGAATATCCGGCCGGCTAATAAAGATTTTTTTAAAGATGCCTTTCGTATTTACTTTACGAACGCAAAAGTTAAAGAATACAATTACGAGCAGCTAAAAAAGCTAAACGCGCTTATCTTAAGACTTAAGTTAAAGAATACGAGCAGCGCGAAAGCTTATAACGCTGATTAAAAAAAAGCTAAAAGCTTAGAGCAAAGCATTAATATATATATTAAAGCTAAAGTAATATTGAATCAAAATCTTTAAACAAAAATAAAAATAATCAATAGGTTTATAAGAATAATTAAAGATATCTTTTAAAAAGCAAAAGCTAAACCACGTAAAGAACTGCTATAAAGCATTATAATAAAGATCGAAGATTATACTAATCTTACTTTCGAAAATACTAAATGGTTCTTAATATTTACCGTAGATCGAGACTTTTATTACGATAATAAGCTTTGCAATCGTCGGCAGCTGCCTTTTCGCGTAGCTTACGTAATCACGGTATATAAAAGTTAAAGAATTTCCTTAATCAAAGCAGTGATTAGCTAAGCTAAGATTGAATTTGCTTATAAGCTACACTATGTTTTAGCTTTTAAAATAAAGACTTTAGCGAAGGTTATGTTTAAGAATGTATTTGATTTTTATCGGTTTAAAAAGAAGTCTACTAATATTAGTATTGATCGGGACACAGATCATGTGTATCGAAATCAACTTGCATAGCGGTTGTAAAACGTATAAATATATATATATTATATAAGCTATAAGAGTTATAAAAGTTACAAAAGTTACAAAAGTTATAAAAGTTACAAAAGTTATAAAAGTTACTAGAGTTATAGAAGTTATAAGAACTAATAAAAAGCCTTTGTACCTCGCTTAATTTAAACAAAAGCTTATTTGCACGTGCACTTAGCCTTAATATAATAATTTCTTTATATTTAAACACTTTGCTTTTACGATATACCGAAATCAAATAATATATAGTAATAAATCATTTATCGCTTTTCTTATTGCTATCATGAATACGAAGCAAAAGATATAAAGTACTACCAACTATACCGAAAAAGAAAAGATTGACGAAAAGGAGCTTGATAAAGGAGAGCTTGAGGAGGAGGAGCTTGAGGAAAGGGAGCTTAAGGAAAAGGAGATTAAGGAAGGGGAGATTAAGGAAAAGGAAAAAGAGGTTATTACACCATTATTAAAAATTCTTTTACTAAACGACTTTTACTACGCAACCTTATTACGCGCCCTTATAGCATTATTATTTAGCTTATTACGCTAACGATATAAGTTACTCGATCTTTTCGATAGTGACGACGAAATGACTCGTATTATAAATAAGATCAACTTTAAAGGATTCATCGATGCTTAAAGCAGCTAACAAACTAATAATAATGCTTAAAGTAATAATTAAACACAAGATAATGCTTAAAGCAAAAAACAAAGCGAAGTAAGTAATAATAAGACATAAGATGATGCTTAAAGTAAATAATAAAG